GGAATTAGTGATTGACCCGTAGTTATAGTCAAAATAAAGTGCACTGTAAAGTTAGTTGCAGCTTTTTGGCATAACTTTCAATGGGATATCTGTAAAAAAACTGCAAGCAAACTTTACAGTGTACTTTATTTTGATTATAACTACGGGTCAATCACTTTAATCATATTTTTAGCTAATTTAACACAGTTAAATTAAATCAGGTTAGGGAACTTCCTATTCTTCTTAAACGGAATCGCTATATCTACAAATTATTTTATACTTTTTAGTTCTTGTTGTAATAAAAGCGTGTTTTTAGTTTTTTTAACTATAATATTATTTTCTACTTTTTAGTCTTTTGAAATCTTGCAGTTAATATTATACTAAATTTGACTTAACAAACAAAATTTTCAATATATTTCAATTTAAATAGATAATACACCTATTCTGAATATAAACCAAATTTGAGCACAGAAGCCGAATTTTTAATTATACAGACTCACGCGCCACATAACTGCCAAAATTTTTTGTACAGTTATTTCTTTTCATGTAAGCAATATGCATTCTAAATGTGAACTTAATCGGATCATAAATACGGGTTTTCCAAATATCTCGACTCCTGCGCCACCAATCGGCAAAATTTTTTGTGGATTTATTTATTTTCATATAAGTCATATATGTTCTAAATATGAACCACGTCAGACTATAAATGCGGGTTTTACAGATATCTCGACTCCTGCGCCACCAATCGGCAAAATTTGTTTCGGATTTATTTCTTTTCATATACGTAATAAATGTTCTAAATACGAACCAAATCAGACCATAAATGCGGGTTTTACAAATATCTCGACTCCTGCGCCACCTAGCGGATTAAAACATCTTTTAAATTGTATTGTCCTCGAGTTCTGAGCCAAGTTTGAAGTTTCAAGTCTGTAGCTCATCGGGAAGTTTGTTAAATATTGAATGCAAAGTTCCAGGACATACAAAGTTACATACACACATACATGCATACATACATACATACAAGTGAAGTTAAATAAAAGCTTGTAAAAAACATATGAAGCGGTTGACAGGAACTAGTAAGAAATTTCTGTACGATTTCTTAAAGAAAATTCTTAAAAAAAATGGGAGACCTTTCAGAATTCTATGAAATCCTGGTGTGCAGGGTATACATATACATACGAATATGAATAGATAAAGAAGATGTTGATGACACAAGGAGTTCATACCAACATTAAATGTTGATTTTGTACGATTGCTACAACCTGTAGTTGTTGAATCATGTTTGACAATGAGTATAAAACAAAATTACAAAAAACACGTAATTTTGACAAAAGCTACAAATTCGGCGTGAAATCAGAGGATCTGTAGCCCGTTTCTGTAACTTTTCTCTACCGATTATTTCTCTACTGGTAGAGAAAATACGTCACTCTCACCTACTAATTAGCAGTAGAGAACAGGGCGGCGAAACAAGTGCTCCCGAAATCTTTAAGAGTATCGGAAATTTGTTACGATTATTTTAGGAATCTTTACAGAAAAACATATGAAGCGGTTGACAAGAACTAGTAAAGAAATTTCTGTACGATTTCTTAAAGAAAATTCTTAAACAAAATTGTGAAACCTTTCAGAATTCTATGAAATCCTGGTATGCAGGGTATGCATATACATACATACGAATATGAATAGATAAAGAAGTTGATGCCACAAGGAGTTCATACCAACGCTAAATGTTGTTTTTGTACGATTGCTACAACTTGTAGTTATTGAATCACGCCACCTTGCATAGATTCGCCCAAGGTGTATTTAAATACGCCTTGGATTCGCCTTGAAAGCAACCAAACAAATGTAAACAAATTTTCGCCAGCCCAAGGCGAATTTATACCTTGCGCCAAGGCGAATTTATAGGTGCGTTCGTTTAAAATCTCCAGTTAAAACCAACCAACTGCCAAATTCCGGCGAAATGTCATCTGTTCTCTCACAAGAGAAAAATATCCAAAATAGTACGCGAACAGAAAATTTGCAGAAACTTGCAAGTTAGACGAACAGCTGATATAATTTTTGTTTACATTCAAAAGTGTAGAATTTAAAACGTACGAAAAGTCATCACAAAGTGTTATACTGACACAGTTTATTGATGAAAAAAATAACTACTTATTTCTTACAAGTTTAATTAGTCGCATTTTGTAATTTTTAACTTCCAAACCATCAAATGCAATTTTGTGATTTGCGTAAATGCCAACCAGCTGTTTTTGATCAGCTGTTTTCCTGTTGGCAAGTTGCTGTTGGCAAAAATTTTTCCAGCAGAAACCAGCAGCTTCCCCTCAAAATGAAATATCACTTTGCTCTCTCAATGTCCCCTACTTTGCAAGTTTTTTGCGTACGCGAACGCAAAAACTTGTAAGTTTTGGTTAAACATGAACAATTAACAGCTACGCGAACGCAACTTATATAAGGTGGTGTTACTAGCGAATTTAGATTTTCGCCGCGGTACTTGCCAATGTCAAGATCAAGGCGAATTTATAATTTATAAATTCGCTTGGCCAAAAATGTGTTTGTGGCAAGGTACATTGAACAGGTAGTATCAGTAGAGCAGCTGATTTGATTTATTTTCAAATTATTTGGTCTCGAAAATGTCAAATATTTTTAATTTTTTCTCACGAAAATTATAAGTTGTTAAAATCCATTTGCTTGTGAAACCTTTTTCCATACAAAACAAGCGATTGAATAGCAGCTTTTGGAACGTTCGCCCAACTCGGCAGCACGACCGCTGATTACTGGGCCTTGCAAAGGATGGATCAATGCTTCGAGAAGCAAACAAATTTACTAGCATCAATTTTTATTTTTTCCAATTTCAATTTTTTATTTTTTATAATTTTTTGTATTTCACATGGCACGCTTTGATTTAGAAGAAAAAATTCAGAACAGTTGTTGACACTTTCGATACCAGAAGCAACAACAAAATACACGCAAATGTTGTTTTTGCTCTACTGATACTACCTGTTTAATGTGCCTTGGTTTGTGGTAATATGAATTCGCCTTGTTTACAACAAACACATCATTTTGATATTAGGAAGTACCGCGGCGAAAATCTAAATTCGCATTCAACACCATGAACCAAAAAGACAAGATCACGCGGGCAGGAGAGTAGCCCGTTAGAATCGCATTAAGGAAAAAAGTTGAACGATTTTGACATTAGCCGTTTGTTTACATTTTTTCGTTGTTTACAATTTGGTGGTGGCTTTTTACTGCAATTTTCTTCATTTTCGCTAGTGACAACGTGTGTACACATAAGATAAAGAATAATTTAACACAACGGCATGATTTTTAGAAGAATTTGCATAATAAAAATGATTTTTCATGCGTTCAACCATTTCGCGGTTCTCTTCGTTGTTTACTTCTTACAACAAAGATGGCGTCGAGATTTCGGCAGCTAGAAAATAACTTTTTTCGTTCTTTCCTTCCTGCGTGATCTAGTGTCTTTCGTTCATGATTCAACACCACCTTGTATAAATTCGCCTTGAAAAATGTAAGCCATGTGGAAATAATATTTAACAATAAGCATTTTATTAAATTCGACAAAAATTTTTCAGATGAAGTGAACCAATTTTAAGATTTACGTTCATATCTCATTCGTTTTTGATGTAAAACATACTTCAACAGACTAGAAATGCCGAGGGCATAAAAATTTGTGAGATATTAAATTAGCCTCGTAGTTTAAAACTATACTTTTGGTAGTTATTGATATTATTTCCGATCATACATATTGTAAGTTAATGACTACTTTCTGTAGGAATAGTCGACTTTGCAAGAAATTGTATGGTACCATACTCGCCAGTTGTCATCCAATTCTTATTAGTTTTGAACATATTTTCTGCTTGCCCTTTCAAAAGGCCACAAATCAAATCTGCTTTAACAGTTCGTAAGCTAGCAAGATTAGTTGGCATGAAACCTATAAAAAGGGAAATTTAGCTTATATGGATACATTTTTCTCAATAAAGTTTACCTCTAAGACATGTTACAAATGACTCGGTGAAGTCCCAAGAGAAATCTCCTATTAGCTTCCGGTAGTTGAGATCTCCTTTGAAAATAATAAGATTGGCCTCTGAAAGTCTGGCGTATAAATTTGGATTGACATCGTGCATTCTATAAAATATAGAAAACATTTATGTCTGTAAATATATGTAGATATGTATATACCTTGTATTACATTTCATCATTACCGATAGTATTCATATGGACTTGTCCAAAAATAATCTAATGGTGCTATTTCAAATTTACTTTCATTAATGAATCTTTGCCATCTCATACCATATTCTTTTAGAATAGGTACACTGTGGTTTTGTAGAAATTGTAGAGTCCAATTGAAATCGTTAATTGTGGCGTCAGAAATAAACCATGGAATGGCTTTTAAATTAAAACGAACTTTATCAGCCATTTCAGATTTGATTAAATAGTCGGCAAGTACGAAATCCGTAAAAAGCTCGTAACCGGCATTATCACAAATGAATTCCACTATAGCAGGTTTATTTGGATTTTCAGACTTTAGGCACTCAATAACAAAGCTCGAATCATCAATGATAATTTTATGGTCAAAGCTGCGCACTAAATCAAAGGGGTTGCCTTCAAGTTGAACCTCTTTACCGGACGTTATGGACAAGTCGCAGCGATTTCCCCACAAATTAAGCTTGAAATAAGTTATTGAATATAAATGTATGTAAATAATAACAGCATTAAATGAAAGGGGAAATTACCTTTAGCATTAACTTAAAAGAATCGCTAGTACAGTCAATTCCTTGAACAACATTCAATATTTCTTCGATGCATTCAACAGATTTAACAAGGGCATTCCTCTTTTGGTTTGCAAAATAGTCAAATTTGCTTAACGATAGAGAGTTTTCGAAAAAAGAAGACAACCGGCGATACATATAGCATTCAGCGTAGAGCCAACACGTTTTGAAAAAGCTGTTTTTTCCATCGCCTAAATTTTCTATAAACTGATTCCAGTCTTCTTTGTCGTGCTCTTATTTTGAATATGAAATAATAAAATGTGGAATCAAAGTAACAAAAAAACACGGGTGCAGCGAGGGGGGGTTTGGAAAAAGCATATGTATGCATGTTCATGTATCACATACATACCTTTTCCATCGAATTGTTCCAGCGTCTTGTCAGTTTGTAGTTGATATTTCAATTTAGATATTTGCCCAATAATATGTTTCATTTCCTTCCTTGACTCCTATGAATAAAATTATGTAATTTAATTTGTATAAAATTTTTTAGTTAAGAAATCTAACCTCACCAAACTCTGACACCAAATCATCTTTGTCTTTAGTTATACCGTCGATTATGCTCGTAAGAGTTATTGGCAAGCGGGAGCGCAAAGTGTAGTACGCGAAACTTCTGCAAATTAACGTTATCAATTTTTAGAAAGCTTATTACTAAGTGTCCGCAGTTTTCTAGTAATTTTGAATGGTACTGAACTGTTTATAGAGGCCACACATCAGAGCATGCGGAGGCGTATTTAAATCCAAAATACCATATTTGGAATCAAATTCATTGGAAGACTCTTTATTAATAGTATTGGACATGTTTTATGATAACGCACAGAGTTAAACCGTTTCCAGTCAGATAAACTTATTGTCCCTGCTGCACAAATATGGACTCAAATTATGTTAAGAATGCAATAAAAAGTTAGTCTTAAATAAATATTCGTATATTTTAGTTTTAAAGAGCAAAAATATGTATTTTTTGATATTTATAGGCTTTAGCTTATTTTTATCCAACGTAAAACGTGCAGCTGATTACTGAATTTTAGTAAACAGAGAGCGTGTCTACATAAGAGAGACTAAAAATAGTAATGCCATATTTAAAAATTAAATTAAATTCTCCAGTGACGGGGCATTAAGAAATACATAAGCCCAAAATATTGTTACGATTATCCTCGAAACCTTGAGGGATTTCCCAAATATCCGCGGCTCGTATCGCTGGATTGTTAATTAATGCTCACGATGACCAAATTGAAAGAATAGTAATATTTCAATATATTTTTGTGAAATCCTTTGCGTGTAATTCTTTTCTTAACTAAATTTTCTAATCTCTATAATGTATACAACTGGTTTATCGTACTTTGGTGCTGCTACAACAACAACATCTTACTTTGGCATTGAACTTTTGTTTCAGGATTGTGTTTCTAATTTTAATGCTAAATGGGAAAATTAGAAATAATGGCATGAACCAAAAATACAAGATTACGTAAGAACGCGATGTTGTATTTGTAACTGGTTTTGAGAAAAAAGTTTGCAAAAGCGGGTTCGTCAGCTGAGCGTTTGTTTACATCCCAAGCACCACTATTTTACACTTTTATTCAAGTAAAGAAGAGTTAATTCAACATGACAACACATTTTAAAGCATTTTGTTGCATCATTTTACCTAAATTGTGCGTTTAAAGTGGCTGACAATAATTTTGGCTAATTTTGGTTTTCGTTGTTTTCGTTGCTTTGTTTACTTTTCTCTCGTTTTCCAGTGAAACAAGATGGCGTAGAACCCGCTAAAAAAAATCGATTTTTTTCACTCTCTTTTTCTTACGTGATCTTGTGTCTTTCGTTCATGAAAATAATGGCACCTTTTTATTTTTCTATTTGGCACATTTTGTTTGGCATTTTTTAATCCTCAATATGGCACTCATAGCCACGGATAGTCAAGAATCACGATCCAGAAAATAAAGGTCGCGCCATTCGCGGACCGCTAACCCTCTCATCGTCGATTTGACAGCATCCACCCAATCGCTGACGTCAAAAAATACTTTTGTTCACATTCACTGTTGCCAACTTAATGCTTTTCGCACCAAATTTTGTGGGTATTCAAAACCCGAATATTTTTGAGTATGGTGCTTGGTGCGTTTTTGGTGCTTTTGTTTTTAGTTTGAAGACACCAAATTATAAAATCTTAAAAAAATGGAAGCAAAATTTATAGCAATCATAAGCGTGGTAAGCAACTTCACAAAAATTTTAATAAAATCATGGCACAATCATAAGCGACAACAAAATATGTGGCAGCACCTTCAATCAAGCCAGAAAAAATCGACCGTCGTGCAAGAAACATTGATTTTTATTAATTTGAATCGGCATCCTTACAATATAATTATGTATGCATATAAAGTCCATAAAATACACCAATAAATATTTGGTGCTTTTTCAAATTGAAAACTTGGCAATACTGCCTTTTGTTCGATGCTTCCTCTTTTTCTTGTCGAGTTCGTCTTGCTCTCTCATTCTGATGTTTATTGACGTCACGGCCAGTGTTACCACTTTGGTAAATTATTACCAAAATTGGTAGAAAAAATTTGGGTTGGTAAAAAGGTAAATTTTTTCTCATTTTGGTAGATTTTTGTTAAATTATTTTGTTTGAAAACTAAATAAAAGTTTAGTTCCCGTTTTATTTGTCTTAAAGCATAAACAGACGGCAGCGTTGATCCGGATCAACTCGGGAATTAACTGCAGTTGATCCGGATTAAGTCCGAGTTAGTCCGGATCAACGCTGCCGTCTGTTTAAGCTTTAAGATACTGCCGGAAAGTATAACTACAACAACTGTTACTTTTATATAGACTATAACCTTTGCCCTCCATCAAAATTTATAACAGCTAAAATAAAATAACTAACCGAGATTATACTATTAAGTGGACATGTACAATCAAAAAGTAACTGAAAAATGCGTTTTGCAAATGCTTCATCCAATTTACAGACAGTTTTATTTTTCAATGGTAGCTTATTTTCATTTCGTTTTAAGTGTATTTTCAAAAATTCCTAACTTCTTTATGCTTTGAGACTTCCTAATGGACATTTTTTTTGGGAGATTTGGAATTCTATGGATAAATTTCTTCTTTGTAATTCTGCGTTAGGTACTATGGGCCACCAACCCCCATCTTATATTAGATGCTTGATTTTTCCTGAGACATGACGTCCTGCCACGCGGTGTACACTAAGGATAAATATGTACTACATACATGAGGATTTCATGGCACAAAATGCGATTCATGTTTTTTCGATAACATTGAAAATTGCCGTTTGTCAAGTTGAGTGCAGTATAAAAACATATAGTTAAATTATATATGTACATACATATATGTAGATGAGATTAATGGATATGGCAACCATCTTTTCTTCATGTTGCTTAATAACGAAAACAATGAATGGCTCATAAAGCCCTGTATGCAGCTCTCAAGAAAACGGTCAAGAAAAAATTGCCATTATTTCGTGTGTGTGTCCAAGGAATTTTGACATTTTTGATACTTCACAGCCTGTTGCCTCACTCTTTCCTCAAGAAATAATGGAACGGGCATATATTTCTGTTGCAAACCTGGGTTGCCTTGTGCTCTTTTTTCACAAAAAAC